CCATTCTTCAAGTTCGAAGGCGTCCCCAAAGGCAACGAGACGTTTGACCGCATTTGGTGGCCATTCTGTGGCGGTGCGGCCGGTCTAGCGATCGGCGCCACATCCACGTGGTTCGCAAGAAGACCCTTCTGGTCATCGGTGTTGCCGACAGCGGCGGTCACACTCATAGGCATGGGTTTGGGTCTCTATTCCGGACACAACACCAGACGCAGGGCTCGCGAGAGGGACGCCGTTCTCATCCATTATATGCTTCTTCACGAAAAGGAATTCCCACTCATAGGTAGGCATTCACTCCATTCATATCTATCCATGTCTTCAATTGTCTCAAATGATGTCATGTTTGATGTTTGGCTCATATATTGACAGAACGCCAAAGATTTGGTCAAATAGTAAAGCCTTGGATTCCGTTTCGCGTCGGAAACGATGGTATCTTTGTTGACAAATGAGTAGTCATTCTAGTGATCAAAGTCTTCATAATTAGATTAAAAGTAGATTTGCGTAGAGATTATTGAATTCAGATTATTAGTGTAAATATTAACTGTAATACTGTATGAAAGCCTAATAAATGCTACGATTAAATCAGTTATTTGCCATTTGTGTTACTATTGTACTCAATTTACCCTGTTGTCATTTACTCTATTGAAATATGCATATTATTAAATTAATTGATTGCTCTAAATATTGGATACCGGTAATATTGTATAAGTTTTTACGATAAGCACATTTTTGTGGTTTTAAGGTATTTATTGTTTTGATTAACAATAAAAATTACATTTAATGAGATATAAATAGATTTGAATAGCTTTCCAGCAGAATTAAGTGAAGTATTAACTCAATATTCAATTCCTAATTTACTTTAGAAGCAATGGTTGAATATTGAGTTCATATTACCGTCAATTCATTTAAGGATTCACAATATGAGGCACAATACAATAGTTGTAAGATTAGAGTTTTGGAACCTCTTACCAGTATATTGCTTTACCCATTCCATTATTACGGTACTAAGAAAACAATATATCCAGAATAAAAGGATCCAGAATAATTTTAATGAATTTGAATAATTTAAATAATTTTGGTTATATTACATCATCGTAATCATTATTAATACAATCATATACCGGTATTGGCTTTATATTGCTTTCAAAAAGTTCTCAAACTATGGATTTTTCTAAATACCGGTAGTATTTTTGAGAATAATTTGAGAATACTGTATGTGCTTTGCCTAATAAATGCTACGATTAAATCAGTTATTTGCCATTTGTGTTACTATTGTACTCAATTTACCCTGTTGTCATTTACTCTATTGAAATATGCATATTATTAAATTAATTGATTGCTCTAAATATTAGATACCAGTAATATTGTATAAGTTTTTACGGTAAGCACATTTTTGTGGTTTTAAGGTATTTATTGTTTTGATTAACAATAAAAATTACATTTAATGAGATATAAATAGATTTTAATAGCTTTCCACCAGAATTAAGTGAAGTATTAACTCAATATTCAATTCCTAATTCACTTTAGAAGCAATGGTTGAATATTGAGTTCATATTACCGTCAATTCATTTAAGGATTCACAATATGAGACACAATACAATAGTTGTAAGATTAGAGTTTTGGAACCTCTTACCGGTATATTGCTTTACCCATTCCATTATTACGGTACTCAGAAAACAATATATCCAGAATAAAAGGATCCAGAATAATTTTAATGAATTTGAATAATTAAAAAAATTTTGGTTATATTACATCATTTTAATCATTATTAATACAATCATATACCGGTATTGGCTTTATATTGCTTTCAAAAAGTTCTCAAACTATGGATTTTTCTAAATACCGGTAGTATTTTTGAGAATAATTTGAGAATACTGTATGTGCTTATTTTCAAAATAAAAAATTGTTTTGTGAACATATTTATCACCAAAAGAACTTTTATTTGTTCCGGGTAGTTATCTGATCCCTGAGTTGATCATGAAATTAATGCATCATTTCTATCGTAGCTATAATTTGTCTATATTCTTAAATTATTAATCCAATGTTGCTAGATTAAATGTTATAAATGTTTCTATTTTATCATTTAAATATTACAACATATTATTTTATTACCGGTACCTTACATACAGATGCATTAGTTATTCTACAATTCTATAATAATAATAATTTTTGTGGTGTTTATCAAATCATTTTGTGAGTGCTAAATTAAGAATCATTTATTAACTCGTACAGAAATTATTATGAATTTAAAGATTTATAATTTATTGAGCTAATTATAAAGTATCATATTCTCTAATATGAGTTACAGTGTATTACAATAATTAAATGATCAATTAATGTATGTATGAGAATGTATGAAATTAAATCATAAACAATACATTTGTTATATAATAAAGTCATGTTACAGTTATAGTGGATGCCAAAACTGATTCTATACCTAACATTCCTCTCATTCTACTTTTATACTGTATAACTGTAATAATGATTATCATCAATCAGTTATTCAAATATATAGTATTGTTATTAATATACAGTACAGTATTATTAATATATCTTAACAAAGAATCCAAACGAAAACCATAAATATTTAAAATAACGAAAGTTTGAATTAGAAAACTTATACCGTAAATAACATTTCCTATATAACTGTAAGAAATAGTGTATAAATCGTATTATTAAAATCGATGTTAAATGACTTTATGTTAATTATGAAAATTAAGCTTTTATTTGACCAGTTTTCTTGTGTACAGTCGTGCTGCAAAATTAATTACTATTGTTTTTTTAATGACTTCGTAATAATTATACTTATAAAGTGATTAGAATAGTATTGAATTATTTATAACTTATAATATCAGAGAACAAATATTATCTAAATATTGCTGACAAATATTGTTTATTAATTCGGTTATTGTCGATCAATTGTATGTACACTACTAATAGCAAACAATAGACTATTGAATAGAGAGAATAGAGATTACAGTATTAGCAGTAATCAATGTTTAATATCAATGTATTCATAGTTGATTTAATTAACGTGTTTAATGTGTTATTATGTCACAAATTTTCAATTCTTTAATCGATATAATCAAAACTACAATGTTGATTTATAAATAATTTGAAACACGTGAAAAACCCGCCAAATTAAGCATTAACTGATTTTGGATACTAATCTATTAACTTCAAATGAGTGAGAATTAAGTTGAAGTTCATGTATACATCATTGCCTAACAGGTTTGTTACCAATTTAATCCTATTGTCAACTCTTATGTTACAACAAATGTCCACTAATTTAAAGAAATGACATATAATGGGGTTTGCTTATAACGGTAAATAATCATCATATTGAATCATATTATTACTAGACTACTTCAATTTAAGTTTAATTTACAGTTTAAGTTTAGTGACAAACTTTATCCTTATTCTTGAATTAATGATATGTTGGGATTTGTGATGTCTTCTATAATACTGTAATAGACATTATTTGAAGCCTTTTTGCCACAGGTTCTCATCAACACAACACTCCTGGGTATCCAATCACTGCACATATTATGTAATACTCTATTGTGAATACCCAAGTAATACAGTAATACGTTAAACTTTAACNTTCAATTTAAGTTTAATTTACAGTTTAAGTTTAGTGACAAACTTTATCCTTATTCTTGAATTAATGATATGTTGGGATTTGTGATGTCTTCTATAATACTGTAATAGACATTATTTGAAGCCTTTTTGCCACAGGTTCTCATCAACACAACACTCCTGGGTATCCAATCACTGCACATATTATGTAATACTCTATTGTGAATACCCAAGTAATACAGTAATACGTTAAACTTTAACGGTTAAAGTGTACAATATCATGAATTAAGATAATGAAGTTCATTGGCAATAGATTTCAAATCATCATCATGCCAATTTGTTAATCAATCTGCAATTATAGTGTGTTTAACAAACTACCATAAGATTGCTTACTTAATTTTATTCCATTTCTATACTAAAGTAAACTATATTTAATTATTTATGATTTATCGTATTTAAAAACTTTAGCATTAAAAACGAGTGATAAACAGACTTTTTTAGCTTGAATTAAATGGTGTAATAAAAATTTAGTACAATATTTGAGACAATAAATGATTAAATAATTACAAAGTTCTCAATTGTTATCAACAAACACCAAACTCTTACAACACATGTCTTTACACATGTACGGTAGTAAATCATTAATTGCTGCATATACAGTATATTCCACTAAATAGTGGCAAATTATGAACATTAATCAATACTTTGATTGTAAATAAATGTGAGAATATATAAAATATAATTTAGCCATAATGATCAATTATAAATTCTGATAGATACTAATTTTATTTAGATATTATAAGTTAAAACAGAGTTTAAATAGAGTACTGTATAAAATACCATAGGATAAATAGGGTAGAATATTTCTATAGATTTAGAGATTTATTTATGTTATTTTGGAATTCCTTAACAAAAATTATTATTAATGACTTAGAAAATAAATGAAGTATGATAATAATATGTTTTTAAATGTTTATATGTTAAGTGTATATCATACCAAATATTTATATGTTTAGAAAATTAGATGAAAATAAGAATAAAAGTCATAAATAAGGAATTCATTTATACAATTTGTACAATTGAAAATGAGTTTTGTAAACTAAAGCATTTTTATCTATAATTCAAACTTAAATCGTATATTAAATGATATTTGAAATACAGGTTCAAATTCTGTTGTGATAATTGACATCAAATAAAACCAAATAATGGAAACCATAATAATTATTATTATTGTATAAAAAGCTACAATAAAGATAGAAAAGAAATGATTTGGCATTAATTTGATGTTTAATTTGAATTTAATGCTTATATTGAGTTTAAGAGTCATTTGTAATAAGTTATACAATGCTACAGTATTATTGTCGACTAATACAGAGCTAATGATATTTTACGATATAAGTTGTGATGACTTAACTTAAAAGCAATTGTAGTCCATTTTAAATTTAAATACATTCAATTATTATTATTAGAGGTCTTTCACATCTTATTTAGCATTAAGTTTAAGAAAATTTTGTGAATTCATATATCATTTATTGAGGATTTGTGCGATTGGTTGGCATTAATGTCCTAAATATTAATTCACAGTAACAGTTACTGTATTGCGAATCGATATAAGCTTACCATCAAAAGTATAAAAATAATCATATAATCCTCTAATATGAGCCATTTGTTTGATGCCACCGAACCCATGGGCCACCCGTCCAAACATTTACAACTACGACCCACTATGTCCGCACCGTTAGCCATAAGCTCTCAGTAAGTACCGTAGCCCTGAACACCCAACTTTATGATTGTACCATAACTTATTATCAATTGTCTATAATTGTAATTTACATTCTGTACTGTATATTGCATTGCATTTGAACATTGAATCTTGCATTCATTGTCTAATAGTTATAGGGTTTACAGTAGTGTGCAATCAATGAGTCAATCATTGATTTGTCACAAATAATAACTGATTATATGATTTGATAAGTTTATGTCATATTTGTTAAGCAGACAGATGTACACATGAATAGATGAATAGCCAGAATGTGTGCCTCTTTGCTATACTGTATTCATGTATGAGTTGTGTTGAGATGTGTTTCTGTGGTCTCTCATCCAAATCCCATCCATATCTCAACCATTCCTCCAAAGCCAAGTGTCGGACACATTGTTAGCCACTAATGCCTCAGTTGTCACTCAATGTGACCATTGATGGGCTCATTGATAGGCTCACAGATAGTCTCACTCCTATCCCCCTCTTCACCCACAGGTCTTCTTTCAAAGTGACCCATAAGTCGAGCGCCGATACCACACAATCGCCGGGTGTTTACCGACGGATCAGTGCCACCAAAGAGCTGCTCTCACAGCAGACACAAGAGGTGCGCCTCAGGAATAGCAGCGCCAAGAAGTTGGTGTCCCATCACTTGGATGGTGACAGTGGTGGCAGTGATGGCAGCACTGGTAGGACTGGCAGTAGTTTAGGTGCTTTGAGGGCGAGAGAGAGCGCCAGTCGTGGCTCAAGCGCTCAACTGTTGGCCGCAAAGATGGCTGAAGTGTCTGAGAGTCTGCAACAGACAGCCGGCAACAACTGGTCCAACAATGTGGACGACTACGAGGTCGGCCAAGTCATCGGTCAGACCCATCACCACCACTTCCACACCAATCCAACTCTCATTCAATCACCACTCCATCACTCCATACACTCACACACTCTCACCAATCCCTTCACCAATGATCTCATGGTTTGATCCAAAGTTTTGATGCATTGAATGATTGGTTGGATTGAGTGTAGAGATGGTGCCTTCGGCCATGTCTTGTGTCTCAACGATGTCTGCGTGTGTTTCAGGTGTTGGAGCGACGGCTGCCGTCCACACGGCTTACTGTAAGCCCCGGAAGGAGAGGTGTGCCATCAAGAAGATCAATCTGGAGAAGTGGAACACCTCTATGGATGAGTTGCTGAAGGAGATCCAGGCTATGAGTGCCTGCAATCACGACAATGTGGTCACGTATTACACGTCTTTCGTCGTCAAGGAGGAGCTATGGCTCGTCATCCGACTCCTCGGCGGAGGTATTGCTTCACAACTCATGTGTTTTCAGTGATATCTCACAAAGTGATTGTCTGTCTGTGTCTGTGTCTGTGATTTAGGCTCTCTGTTAGACATAATCAAACACCGGATGAAGTGCGAGGACTGTCGTCATGGGGTCTTCGATGAGGCGACGATCGCCACAGTGTTGAAGGAAGTGCTCAAAGGACTCGAGTATTTTCACGCCAACGGACAGATCCATCGCGACATCAAAGCCGGCAATATTCTGCTCGGAGACGACGGATCCGTTCAAATCGCCGGTATTTGAAGCACTGCTTGCGATGCAATGGCAGTCATGTTGTGATAATGTGTTTGTCATGTCTGTTGACAGACTTTGGGGTCAGCTCGTGGTTGGCCACCGGTGGCGATCTGTCGCGTCAGAAGTCGAGGCACACATTTGTCGGAACTCCCTGTTGGATGGCTCCTGAGGTCATGGAACAGGTGACGGGTTATGACTTCAAGGCTGACATTTGGAGTTTCGGCATAACAGCCATTGAATTGGTGACCGGAACCGCTCCCTATCATAAATACCCACCGATGAAGGTTTACCTCTTATTCACCAAACATTGCGTGTAATGTATTAACAGTGAATTGATGTCCAGGTGCTGATGTTGACCCTTCAGAACGATCCGCCATCACTGGAGTCTGTGTCTGATGAGAGGGATCAGTACAAAAACTATGGCAAATCCATACGAAAACTTATTAGTGATTGTCTTCAAAAAGACCCGTCGAAGAGGCCTTCGTCTACAGAACTATTAAAACATCAATTTTTTAGAAAAGCAAAGGTTTTCAATAGTTTTGTCATTAATTTTGCAGTCAATTAATACAAATGATTGACATTCAGGACAAACATTATCTGCAAAAGACTTTATTATCAAACGCTCCGAGTATTGAAGAGCGCGCCAAAAAGGCAAAGACCAGTCGCAGAGGACAGGGAGCCAGTGGTCGACTACATCGTACAGAAGCTGGTGATTGGGTTTGGTCTTCAGATGAAGACGACAGCTTCGAAAAGGATACGCCAGTCACTGACAGTCAGGTCTCGTGTAATAACAGTTTAACGAAACAAAATCATATATCGGATGATAAAACCGATGAAATGGTGACAAACAGTGAGCGCACCGAACACTCTCCTCTCAATTGTGAACCTCTTGTCTCGAATCCAATCAATTTAGTCCTCAGAATAAGAAATGCAAAGAAAGAACTCAATGATATTAGGTTTGAGTTCACTGTAGATAAAGGTTGTAATGATTTGTCAATTACTGTAATCGAGTCATTCATTCAATGATGTGATTGATATGATTGTAGACACGGCTGAAGGGATAGCTCAAGAGTTGATAACGGCTGGTCTGGTGGACAGCAAGGATTTCATTGTAGTCGCCGCTAACCTGGAGAAACTCATTTTAGATCCCACCCTCAATAAATCACTTGTTTTCGCATTGGTAAGCCTCTCTCTCTCTCTCTCTCTCTCTCACACACACACACACTTACACACACACACTTACTCACACACACTTACTCACTCACCCTATTATACATTAATGGCAACTCATTTAATGAATGTTTTTTGTGCCGTAGAATCCGTCAGAATATTCTGAATTGTGTGACGAGAAAACGTTGACCGGTTTCGCACAGCTATCAGTCGCCGATTAATTATAATTAAAAATTAAACCGAATTTATTATCAAATTTTATTAATAAAATATTTTGTGTCCACAAAAATATTATATTTTGGGAGCGCTTCTCATCTTTCTTTTCGAATGACATTCATTCAGTTAATTGTTATATAATTTGATTGATTTAATCATATAATCAAATGAAAACAGTTTCATATCTGTTAACAAAGTTATTGCCTGTGATTCTGATTGCTTTCTAATCATTAATAACTGACATTTGCTTTCATTTATTTGATCTATAAATATGATTTCAATTAAAAAATAAACCAATTGTGCAATTGTCTTTTCATTTTAACTGTTAATTCAATCACATACTGTATGTCTTACATAGATTCAACACTTGTATCCAAATAAGGAGTCATCAATATAGCTATGCCCTTGGTGCTTTTTTATTTGAGCACATTTACAATTATTGTTAGTAGTTTTGATTATTTAACCAAATACTTAGAGAGCTCAGTTAGGGTTTTGCTTTGGCACATAACATGTCCAAAATATTTCACACCATTTACAACAAGAAAATTTAGCATAAGTTCCTAAAATTAAGGTGATTTTGCGTAAATATTGAAAATTTCTAATGATTATTAAAATTATTTTTGAGATCATATTTTGATTTTAATAAAAATCAATATCAATATTTGAGTTGACAAATTTTAATTATAATGTGATATGATTTAAAATTTAACCTCATAAAAGGTTCATAAATCTGAACATGCAATTAGCATTTATATCATCAATATTCCTGAAATAGAATTACTGTATATAATATAGATTTCTTAATTTTCTATTAATAAATAATTTTATTTTATAATTAAAATTATCAATATAAGTAATAAAGTGTTACGAAAACACTATATCTTTAACAATTTGTTTATAAAATAGCTTATTCATAAGAATATTCTGAACATGTTATACTGTATATGTAACAAAACTCTAACCCTCTACAATTTGGCAAAAGGATCAATTACAAATGATACAGGTTCTTCAAATGCATGAAAGTGGCATTGCCTTTATTTGTGATACTCTGTATATTACACTTTAAAAAGATATGCTCGACCTTAGGAATACTGTATTAATAAACTATAAAAATATTTATTATAACTCCTATCAAGATTTATATTTTAACCAATTTTAAAATTTTTGGAGGTGGGGGCAGGGTCAAATAAATTTTAGAATATCACATAGACATAATGTTAAATGCTTAAAATTTTACTACAAAATTTCAAATTAAATAAAATTTTTGAGTAGAGAACCAAAATATTCTAGAGATAGGAGATACACAGAGAATACTATTAAATGGGCCTATTATATTCAGTTAACTTGTTTTTCCACATGTACAGTACATAATGGAAGTCATAATAAGCTTTATAAAGGCCCCTTTTAATTATCGCCTATTATGTACCATTAATTTTATTATGATTACAAGAATTTTAAAAATTTTGTTGGTATATATAGATTTTAAAAATAATGCTTATTTCTCAGATTTTTAAGAAGATTTGCATGATTTTCTTATAATTTGTATACATTTCTCATTCAAATCTATCATTCAAATACTGTATATTAGAAATTCTAATTGATAATTTTTAAATGTGATGTCAACAACAATAATTTAATAGAGAATATTTTTGGTAGAAATATTATAGCATTACATTACAAAATAATATATAATCTTTAAATAAGAGATTGTTGTATTAAAATATAAATTGTATTATGCAGTATAATTTATTTATACAATACCGTAATAAATATAAAATCTTAATTTGGACAAATATAACAGATGACTAAAACT